GTTCCAGACAGAATAATTTATCTATTTAGTCGTCTGGTTGATGAATTTTGATTTCGGCATTAAAAAATAATGGAGATGAATCTTCATTTCAGATGCGAAAACAGCTGACATTTTACAAGTCGAGTCCGGTTGGAGCAGCAATTTATATTCCAGATATCCGAACTAAACTTTTTTTTAGATCGAAAAAAAAATTCTGAAAAAGTTAGTAGTTTGCTTGAGGTCATCTATTCTTTATTTTTATAGTTGAAATCTGGAATACATTTTTTTCTAGTTCAAATAAGCGAAGACCGCAAACATCCCTTCTTATATTGAACCATCTTTTCCATTGTTTAACTATTCCCAAATTGGCGTTTGGTGAGAAATTATCTCAACTTTAGTTGCATCCTTTGTTCAATTTTACTTGAGTTCTACATGAAAAGCCAATTTAAAAAAAAGTCCCATCATATGTCAATTATTTAGCATGAAAATTTATCAACTTATTTGCTTGTCTATCTCATTAAATTTCCTTCTAAATTCGATGGGCCAAAAGCAGGCTCAAAACAATCAATTGAAATAAAAAGTAAAATATTCCACGGAATTTTCTTCCTTCATTTTTCTTTCTGTTCATTTGTTTTTATTGCAACAGTCTCTGAACAAAATCATGTTGAACGACGTATTCGAAAAGGCGAAACAGCTGCAGGCGATGTTGGGCTGCTGGGGGGCGTTTACTGGTAAGTTGGTATGAAAAGAAAAACACTTCTCAATTTATAACAAAATTTTTAACACGTATTTGTTTTTTTTGCCTTTGTGCAAACATGTTTCACCTCTGTATCAAAAGTTAGTTGTGCAATTCATTCAATTCATTTCCATTTTTAAAAAATAGTTGTTAACAAAAAAGAACATTATTTAAAAGTTTCTAAATAGTTATCAAGAACTGCCGGCTTTTGTCCGCAAACTGCACACATTTGTATTGACTTCTTGGAAAATGACTTCGATGATGCTAACAGATTAGGCGGCTGATCTTGTGTTTATAAAGTTCGCTTTTTGTCAAAATTTAGAAAGTTAAGTCAGAGAGTATCAAAATTTTTACTAGCAGAAGCTTTTAAATAATTTTATATTTATCGTTCAAAATAAAAATTTGCCCAATTATGGACATTTTAGAGATTTTTTGTCAAAATTTAAAAAATTATTTCGGACAAAATCAAAATTTTTACTAGCAGAAACTTATCTATATTTTTAAATTTATTGATCGAAATAACAAAAATTCTCTAAATTTCGTTATTTAATTGTCGATTTTTTTGTCAAAATTTAGAAAATTATTTCAGACAAAGTCAAAATTTTTACTAGCTGAAGCTTATCGATAGTTTTAAATTTATCGTTCGAAATAAAAAAAAATTTTCCAAATTTGGTTATTTAATTGTCGATTTTTTTGTCAAAATTTAGAAAATTATTTCAGACAAAATCAAAATTTTTACTAGCAGAAGCTTATCTATATTTTTAAATTTATTGATCGAAATAACAAAAATTCTCCAAATTTCGTTATTTAATGGTAGATTTTTTGTCAAAAAACTTAGAAAATTATTTCAGACAATATCATAATTTTTAGTATTGATATTTTTTAAGCAAACGATACAGTAGCCGTGCTGGAAGAGAACAACATAACCATCTCTGAGTACAACTGGGACAGTGTGTGCAGCGAGTTGGCCCAACTGCCGCAGCCACAGATCGTCCACTTGGTAGTCTACATATCAATATTTTTGCTGGGCTTCGGAGGAAACCTCGTCATCATATTCCACATTCTGCACCATGGCATGATAGGTATGGTCTGTTTCATTGATAGCTATCGCCTGTTATGGCCTTCTATGGCCTGCTATGGCCTGTCAATTTTTGTCTGCTTGAAAAGCTGAAGAAGAAAATACCGGTACGGATCCAAGATTATATAAAAACAACAGCCTTTTAATTAGAAGGCTGAAGCGATGTGTACTATTATATTTTAGATTTTGAAAAGCTTGCAAACTTCTCAGTTTTTATCAGCCTCTTTACAATGCTCCTTTAATCCAAGTTCCATTTTTGGAACAATCACTAATTAAAAAAGTAAAACCGAAACACTAAGACTATTCACAAAAATGTGTGACCTCTGTTCCAGTGAGGGATCTCCACTCTTCGTACGTGTTGAGTCTCGCCTGTTCCGATCTGGTCTACATATCGCTGGTACCCCTCCTCGCTATCCAGATGGTCACCAAGAGCTGGATCTTCGGAGAAGTCACTTGCAGGTCAGACAGCATAGACTCGATCAAGTTATAACCCCCCCCCCCCCGTTGTTAAAGCGTTTCGGGGCTGGTAGAGGCTGTTAAATTGGTTATAAATGGATTTTTAGAGTCTAAATTGGAGTTTTCAGCCAATCAGAATCGAGCATTTGTCACACTGCGTTAAAAGTTCTTAACTTTAGCACTAAACAGTAGAGGTTTAGAATCTGGGCAGGTACCCATTTATGCTTAGATTGTCAAGCACAGGGGCGGATCTAAGATTTTCTCGAGGGGGGTGGGACGGATTTTCAAAAAAAACTCGAAAATTTTATTGATTTTTTTTGGTCGACCAAATTGATTTTCTGAGCTCTCATAAATCACTAAAAAGACCCATTTTTACCAAATTTTGTGCACCGCAGGCTAAATTGTAAAAAGAAACAAGCCAATAAAGGCGTTTTCAGGCAATTTTAGGACAATTTCAAAATTTTGACCAAAAATTTGCGTTTTTTCGGCGCCCCCCCCCCTTAGTTAAGATATTTTGGCACCGAAGACGCCTTAAGAAAAAATTTAGGGTCCGTCAGCAAAAATCGGATATCTCAAAATAGTACAAAGGGGGACCCGTGGGTTAGCAGGGTGTCGAATTCCGTCCCCCCCCCCTCCCTCTTAAATCCGCTATAGTTTAGGTATATGAATTACCTTGATATCGCAACATTCAGCCTTGTTCTATCGATGATCTAGTGACTTTATTGATGTAGTATTGATTTTTTTAAATTACTGACGCAGTGATGGTTTGCGCTGCGACCTTTATATTTTATAACATCCGTAAACATTTTTTTTCAAATAGCTATTCATTACAATGTCTATTTTATGCTGCGTATATATACTGGCAAAAATATATTGTTTTTGTTAGGGTAAAAAGAATAAACACTACGCTCGTTTGGCTGCAATGAAATCAAAAATTAAGTAAGCTGATTTTGTTTGTTTTCATTGAAAACCAATTACACCTGCAAAATTGAACATTGACACGAAACGGTCAAAAATTAATTAGTGAGAATTGTCGCGAAAATGTTTGTGAAGATGATGGTAGATTTTTGTTTTGGAATAAAGACCGAACTTTTGTATCAATTTCGTACAGAAAGTTTGAGTGAAAAAAAAACTATCTGTATTTTTTCTTCGAAAAATTGTCGTTATTCAAGTAAGGTATTTCAGACCAAATTAAAATTCCATGCAGCCAATCAAATTTTTAATTATGAGTATGGCTACGTTTGTTTTAACTAAACGTAACTTTTACTGCTGCCTAGTTTTTAAAACGGGAATCAATTTCAATTGAATCAACTATTTGCAGTTTTTCAAAAAAGTTTCCTGTACGAGAACTAGGTAATTAATAAAATGATTAAATTAGGTAAATACAAAAGTGGTTATAGTTAAAATGATTGATTTGGACTCAAATGTGATTTAATTTATCAATTTAATTGAGAAATTTTCTTTTTATTTCCAACTTCTCCTCTCAATTGTTTGATTTTTTGACCGCAGCGGGCATCATTTGGCTGAAAAACATTTCATGCTCTACCTAATTGCAAGTTTTCAACATTGGTTTTTTTGATATGATTGATCGAAAATTTAAATAAGATAAGTGATTGAATTTGAATTTAAATGTGATTTAGTTTGCCAGTTTAATTGAACTAATTTTTCTAATGATTCAAGTTTCTCCTCTAAATGGCTTGACCGCAACGGGCATCATGTTTCCAAAAACGGGCATCATTTATCTAATTGCTGGTTTTCTACAGAAGTTTTTGTTTTGATATGACTGATCAAATATATAAATAAATTAAAATGGTTGAATTTTGTCTTAAAAGTGATTTATTTTATCAATTTAACTGAGCTAATTTTCTTAATGATTCTAATTTCTCCTCTCAATTTTTTGATTCTTTGACCGAAACGGGCATCAATTGTCTGAAAACGGGCATCATTTATCTAATTGCGAGTTTTCCACTATGGGTTTTGTTTTATAACTTGAGGCGCATATGACGGAGAGACCGATTTTTTCAGTGAACCAAAGTTGAGTCATTCAAAATAAGCAAAAGAAATCTAGGTCATTAAAATTAATAATGATAGATAAGGAAACCAGCAAGTAAATGAAAGTTCATATCAATCCAGATAGAAAATGCACTAAAAAGAATTTTAGCCATACTGATTTAAGAAACAAAATATGCATTCTAATTAAAGATGCACGGATTGATTGTTTTCCCCTGCTAAAAATCTTTTTCTGTTATTTACCCGCACTGAGTAAAAAGAGAAAATAATTGATTATATTACAATTATAGTTGTACTTTTATCAAAATTATAACTACTTATAAGCGCTAAAATTACATGTTTAAACGGTTTATTATCTATTATAATGATAACATTTTTCGTGACATTATAATCAGTTATAATCAATTATAATTGTTTATAATTTTTCCGAAATCCTCTTAAAATCTCTTATAATCTCTTATAACCTTTTTTTGATTACAATACTTTTTGTTGTCAAAAATCTCTCAAGGTGAGATAACTTGTCACTACTTGGTTCATCTGAACACAAATTTTCGCCGCGAAACAAAAGTTTCATAGAGATCCCTTCATGTTGGTTGAAAGAATCCCGCGGTAGGTGAAATATAATTCTTCTCTATATATATAAAACTAAAGCAGTTGCTGATATTTAGTGGTCAAAAATATAAAAATATCATAAAACAACTATAACCAAGAAAAAATGAAAAAACAAAAACGTTATTTTCGAATTGATTTGAAAACTATTAAAACAATTTTCCCTGTTTCGAGATAAGACAACGTCTAAAAAAGCATAAAATATAACCATTCATGCGCAAGGTCAAAGAAAAAAAGGGGCAAACAAAAGGGATTATAAACAATTATCGATTATTATGGATTTTTTCAGCAAAACAAATGAGATAGAAATTGATTAAAATAGTCGATTATAATGTATCATAATTGACTAAATATGATTTCAAATCAAAAAGAAAAAGTATAATCGATTATTAATTGATTGAAATCAATTTTTTCTCAATTGTTGTAAGACTGGTACTAAAATCATGATATAATCGATTATTAACGCTTGAAACTGGATGCGGGTATCTTTATCTTTTGGTTCTGGGCAAAAATCAATGGCTTAGTAGCAACTTCTAACAATTCTGATAAGATAAAAATCATCATACGGTCAATCATCTTCAGATAACTCCCCAATATGATTGATCAAAAGTAAAATTGAGTTAAATGATCAAATTTGGACTCAAATAGGATTTTTTTTAGTGTTTCAAGTGAATTACATTTCATATTTGATGTAATTTTTCCTCTTTGTTTCTGATGACAGCAATAGACATCATTTGGCAACATATATTTAATTGCAGCTCACCAATATTGGGTTTTCAAATATTACTTTACTGATTGAATATAATAATGGGTTGAAATGATTGAATTTTCAGTTAGATGAGGTTGACTATACCAATTTAGGTGCGCTAATTTTCATGATTGTTCTATATTTTTTTCTTCTCCTTTGTGTTAAACAAAACAGGGAACATATTTCTAAATACGGTCATCAGATGACTAATTGCTTGTTAGAAGAGTGTGCTTTCTCAAATAAGGCTCATTAAATAGAAAAATAAGTTAAAATGATGGAAATTGCACTTAGATGAGAATGATTATATCATTTTAAGTGAGCTGGTTTTGTTATTTATTTTTAAAAATGATTTATTTTCTATTATCCGAAACGGGCATCATTTTAAAAATTTATAAATGGAAATTATATGCCTAATTGCAGATTCCTAAAGAGCTTTTTTTCAATTCTGAAAGGTTCAAATTATTTAAAATTACATATACAACGAACTTGAATATGAATGTCATTTAATTTCTTATTTAAACCAACCTGATATTCAAATTCGGACTGAAAAATTTAAAAACAAATGTCGTTATAAAAGTTTCCGGCAACAATCGGATAATCAGCCAGTAATTCAAAAACTTTTAGTAGATAACCTAATTTTCAAAGCTTTTTTTATTGCTTATATATATTTTTAGTTTTGTATATATATAAAAAAATTTTGCAGTTTAGTTTGGTGTAAATTAACGCTGCCGGGTTGATGCAAGTCGATATTCACGCAACTCCTGTACCATTTTCAATACAATTCATGCTTTTAAACATGTATACGAAGAACTTTCTCGCAGTCTGGAATTAAATGACAACCATATTTCTTCTGACCAATTGAAAAATGGGAGTAAGCTTTGGATTCGGCTTAGCTATAGGTTTTTTTCCGTGTTTCCTTTTTTGTTTTGTTTTACACGCAGAATCGGGTACCAAAAATAATTATAGGAATGGGTACAGTGAAATATCTTAAAACATCTTTTCAGATGTGTTTGAAAAACTTTTAAAAGTTCGAAACTTAAAGCGAATTCGGCAAAAAAACGCTTGTTTTTTTTCTGATCTTTTTTCGAGAAAAATCATTGCCTGGTTTACCTATTTTTCTGAACTTCGGAAGTTTATGCAAACTCAAGTCCTAATTTAGATCTTTTCATCACTCCACGCACAAAAACAACACTAAAATGAAAAAAATTTCTGTTATGTTCTCTTAATCATTTGAACGGAACTGTCTGTGCTACTTTCACAGCAACTGGCTATCCTTGTTCATTGTATCGAACCTTATGACTTGCGTTTTTTCATTAAAAAGTCATTTGACAAACTTTTAGTTTCCTTGTTTTGTTCTACAAAACGTGTCCTTGTATCAAAACACAAAGTTTGCTAATAACTGTCATCAATCAACAAGGTAATGAAATCTAGCAGATAAATTGTTTTACATGTTTGAATCTAAATCTATATGTAAAACATTGATGCGACAAAATAACCCAAAGTCTAATAACTTGCGCAGAAATTTTCTGCTGCTTTTTTGCCGAATAAAACATTTGCGTACCTTGAAGAAGTCAAAACATCTAGTACCGATTGATAACAAAAATTTAAGAAATTAAGAAACCCCCGCTAAAACTAC